GACATATATATATATATATATATATATATATATATATATATATATTATTACCTGAGTACACAGTGCGAGGATTACGTATATTTCGACATCTTCTTACCGATTGTTCCCTCGGTCGAAGATGTTGCTGGCATCGTTTCTTTAGAAAGTGGAGGTGTATATACATCGATGCATTTAAAAGATCGGTATCTCTATGTCATCATCGTGTAACATAGAGTACACAACGATGAGATCAATATGGAATACGCATCACACCGCGTGTATATACCGCGAGTGACATCCCGTTTTTAAGCGTTGGTTTTTTTTTTTTTTATTTTTATTTTCACGTTTATAGGTTCCACAGGTGCATTATTCCATTCTGTTTATTATTTTTCTAAAATAACGAAGAAGCGAATAATTATAATTTAATTTTAAAACCTTCTTTACCGTCTTTGTCGTAAATTATCTTTAATAATTATCGTTGACGGTAGACGATATTTCCTGGTATTTTTTTTCCCCCCGCCCTTTTTCTTTTTGCGCGCGCGCGTGTATTGTATGCGTGCGTCTGCGCGTACTTCGATAGAAAAGTACTATCCTTGAAGTTTACAAATTAATATTAAACTATCATAATATTTACATCGAGTTCTGCAAATGCTAAACTCACACCTTCGATAGTTTTTACGATGCATTTTTCACGTTTATACGCGTAAGCGGTTATTCGAATATCTTGATGATTCACGAATTTAAATTATGAAGTTGTAAAAATTTTATTATACCACTACTACTTGTTATTCAATACGTATATTATATAGCGTCCTTTTTTTATTATGATTAATCTTTATATTTTTTTCAATTTTCAAATATAAATGAGTTACGGCATATTCTATTTCGCATGAACATATTTTAAAAAAAATATAAGTTTTCTGTAAACAATTCATATCTAATTATACGATAATAATTCTCGAAGAAATAAATAATTTAATGAGCCATAAAATTGTATAGTATTCACTAATGATGAAATGCTGCAATTTTATTCCACGTATCGCTGAATCAAATGTTTAAAGTTCACGGCAATGCTGTTGTAAGAATACGGGAAAGTAAACAAGGAAATGTTATCGGTGCAGTAGGACAATAGACTTGATTGAAAAATATCTTTCGTCTTCGAAAATTTTCCAACGAGTACAACTATGCGGGCAAAATTGATAAATCCTTTCTAAACCCGGAGAACACGTATACATCTTTCGTTCGCATCTCAATAAATTGCGTGAATTTCAGAGAATCGGTTCAACAAATTACCGGCCGGTGCCGCATTACGGTTGCGGTGGCCGTAATCGGTGTGGTGAAATACTGCCAATAGTCTCCTAGATTTAACAAGTTTATTTGATAAATAACATTTTTCCCAACGATATTTCCAATGATATTTGTTTCGATCGATCACGCGACGATATTTTCACGATTTGATTGTTTAAAAATTAACACATTTTCGAAAAATCAGCACGCGCAATAAAATTCTATAAAATGGAATGAAATTTGCGATATTTTTTTTTCTTTATCATCATTTCAAATACTATTTTCGAAACGATTTAGAATGGATCGATACGAAAAAAGTTTGTCCCGAGTTTTTTACGTGGTCGTGAAATTGGTCGCATTGGCGAAACGAAAATTTAAAGGAACGGTGAGTAGGAAATGCGCGCGAGGTGATCCAAGCGTCTTGTCTTTCGAACTACGGTTGACAGGTGGAGCCAAGGGAGCAACTGTTCGAGCTGTTTTAACTTTGAACACGTACCGGCGAGGATCTCTGGAGACGTACTACGTCATCGCTAAACGTTTGCGGCTTGTCATCCCAGTAATTGACTTTCTCTCCTGCCAACGATGAAAGAAAAAACTGTCCTGCTCGAATAGTTTGCGTTGATTAATCCTTTTATTTGTGACGGGAGGAACAGAATAAATTTTAGAGAGATCGAGCGACGTGGATAGAAGATATCGCGCGAATTCTACGGCCAATTTATATCTCGATATAAATTTCGTGCATTTGTTATACTTGGCGCGTAGGATTATTATAATCGTAGGAGATTGAAACGTTTTGAACACGGTGTGAAAGAATCGTTGTCACGGTCGTCATTTTAACCGTTGAAATTCCATATAAAATGCATCGTAAACGTATCGATAATAATCGTCTTTATGTAGATCGTCAAGAGTGGTCGCATTTATCATTCCGAGGCAGCTTCGTTGCTGGTCGATTGAAAATTTCAAGGAGCGCCTCGGTACGGCTCGAACACCGAGAGGACGATCATTTATCAACGACTGTATTCCGGTATTCAATTTAACCCTTATTAGATGAGTAATTTTGTGATCAAGTTTATTAGCGAATTAATCAACAGATTTGCCCGTGATAAAACGATCGTTCCTTTCCGCGTATTTTAACGCGTAATAAGTGGATCGATATTTATTTTAACTTTAACAATACTCGATAGAATCTTTTATATGGCGTTCGAAAATGTCAACCGCAATGAATCGTATTAAAAATTGTATTAATAATTGTAAGCTTTCGAAGCGAACCGTATCTATGTATAAAATTATTTTATTTCACAAGAATTGTCTGTTGTTTATTTCAGATGGAGCGCCAGTTCTTACGGACGCTGTTGTACACGAGGTAAGAAAATCTTGGACGGAAAACACACGTATGGACAACAGTTTAATATAATTCTAGCTTTTTAATACAAGGAGGAGGAGAAAGTTGGCGACTTGATTTATATCAGGAAACGCGATGCTCGATGATTATTTATCGTGGGTCAATTTTAGAAAATATCGTAAAATAACTCACATTTCATTATACTTTACAATATTATACACCACTTGTGTATCCATCGTTGAAAGAATTTTATAAATAAATCGAATAATATCGAATGGAGGAAGAAAGACAGTTATTTTCTTCTTTTTTCATTTACATTTGGAATTACTCCCGTTCGAAGAGAGTTAACGCGATTTGTTAGGAAGATAATGCGTGTCAAACGCATTCCGCTGTTACGTTAAAAAAATTTCATTATCGATATTGCGCGATAGAAGAAATACCAAGAGATTGCCGTATTACGCGAGATGTATTTTTCAATTCAAATTAGCGATACAAGAAGTATGTAGATCAATCGCGAATGAATCAAGCGAGAAGACATCCACCACACACCTTCTTCTTTCACGTACGTATTTAAACTAACTCTCGTTACGAAAGAAGATAATGACATCGATTAAAAACGCGCTCATTAGCTCTTTATGTAACTGCGTGGCAAAATCTGCGTTTAGATTATCGTCTCGCAACGCTTTCCTGTCAAACAAAGTAAAGTAAAAGTTAAAATCGATGCTGAAACTTTAAAAACTTGACACACGTTGATGCATGTTTCAGAGGAAAAACGACGATGCCGGGTGAAATATTTTAAAATGATGGTCGAAATATCGAGCGAAAGACTTTAGACTCGTTACCGTTGCGAAATCAACCGAGCATCATGGACGCAACGAGTTTGATAAATATTTAAAAAGAAAAAAAAAAATATTCAAACGACATGTAAATTTTATTTCAAAAGATGATTTAAATGCTGTTGCAAAAAATGATGGAGTAGTAGTGACACGGGTCGTTATCTAAATTGCATAATGATTTCTCTAGAACATGGTTAATACTTTCAGAAAAATATTCGATCGAAACAGTTTTACCCCCTCTCCTCGAATTTTCGAATCGAGGAAAGAAAATTTGCGAGAAAAGAAAGAAAAAGGAAAAAGAAACATACCTTCACCTGGCTCGGACCAAAAAGCAGAGGATGGAATTTTAATGAATCGCGTGGTGTTGTGCGTGTATGAATGTAAGAAATAAGGCGAAACGTCAGTCAGATTTCTAGAAACGAAAAGATCTCGATCAATCATTATTGCAACGTGCCGATCATTTTGTTTCGGAATGGGACGAAAACGTGGTGGTAGATCCCACGATCGAAGTCGTCGAAACGTATCACCGCCGCTACATTTCTGCGATACTTTCGCGCCCGTACACCTGTAATAAAGCTCGCACGATTATATCTGTTGGCACGGCGGATCATCTATCCTATAGCCTGTGCACACTTGGCAGACTGATTGCCCTTAATACACATATAATTTATACCGGGAGGAGAGGGATGATAGGACGTTGCATCTAATTGGATTCCGCTCACGTGTATATATATATATATACGTACACGCATATAAATATTGACTTAATATAATAATCATGGGTGCGTTGTGTTGCCATTACCGAACGAGCCGCAAGATTAATTCGCGTTCCGTAATCGCGTGTTAATAACACTTCCTTTTCTTTCTTTTGCGGTCAGTCGATCCAACGATCCATCTTCTTGTGTCCTCGGATCGTTGCTCGGAATACTCGGCAGATCTGTCACGATTTTCATCTTTTTCAACCGAACGACCCTTTCACTTCTCCGTTATTTCATTCCCTTTTCTCTATCAGTAAGTTTAATCACAAATAAAAAACGATATCGCAAAATTTCGTCGTGAATCTTTTTAAAAGAGGATCTAATAAAAACGTATTATTAATTACATTTTTTAAAGATACGCGGTTTCTAAAACGTCACAAAATTTATGCAAATACAAATTTTTCACGAGTATACTTTTTATATATTATTGTAAGCGACAGAAAATTTGGCATTATTCGCATAATTTAATACTATTATCAAATTATTAAAAATCGATTAAAATATTTCTAAATATTTAGCAATTATCGCTTTATCAAAACTGAAAATTAAAAAATTTTCAATGGTTGCAACAACGCGGAATCTTGCCCTTTAAAACGCTTTTCGAATTATCTCGATACCACTTCCGGTCCCCGAGATATCGTCGTGCGATGGAAAGGATATTATTTTTCTTCGCTCGTTTACTATCCTTATTCTTGTCGCTTACTCGGATCTCTCGCTCGCACTCGTTTCACCGACCTATCCCAAGTTTCAGACGAGTGGCAGACGCGATTCCTGGAAGCAGGCATTTTCTAGGAAAAGATATAAGTCACCGAGTCCATTCATAATCTCTTCGCATTATGTTGAGCATAGCAGATACTTTGATTGATCCTTACGTCCGCTCGAGAACTAAAGCAAAAAGTGACTCGAACGGTGTATCGCTTTTTCTTTAGAATAGTTTTTGATGATTAAATTTTTTTTTTTTTTTTTCTACACGAAAACTCAAACTTTGCAATTTTCTACGAATTGAGTGTAATGTTCCGTTGTGATATGAATAATAAAGATTTTTTTCTTTGTCGCATTTTATATCATTATAAATCGATCGTAGTTTTTAGTAAGAAACATCGTTCGTCCTTGTGCTCGTAACAAATTTCTACGGTATGCAAAACTCGCTTCATTAGCAAGCGAAAAAAATAAAAATACTATCGCGTTAATTAAAACGACAAAGGAATTACAGGGGAATAATTTACCGGGACGTTCTCTTCTTTGCGATTGTAATCACGGTCAGATCTGTTGGCGCAGAATCGTGATCACCTCTTCTTACGCGACACAACGGGGCTCATCTATCACTTTCATTTACGAGGGCAAAAGGTATTCGGTCGTCTACGATTCGTGACGCAATACTCGTTTATAGGTCAGTCGTGAAAAAGGCGCATACGTTAACCCGATGTCAGTTTGCCGGAAAATCTTTCGCGCCTCATTGATTTATAACTTTGCCACATCCGTAAACCATCTGAAATTTTGTAACCAACTTTATTTATGTTCTCGCGCGTAACACAGCCTCGTACACGCACACGTCGTACATACGTGAGAAAATATTTGTCGTTCCAGCATGAAAATATAAATTTACTTGTACCCGTATCTTTACACAACGATCGATCGTTTACCTAATACTTTACATTCGGATATATAAAGTTATCATTATATATATATATATATTTGGAACTATTCTACGTGTTCGATCGAACATCGCGACATCGTGGACTACGATGCACGTGGAAAAGAAGAAATTTTAATTCACCTAAGACGCATGGAAAACGCCTATTACCGTTTAAATTGGCCACCATCTCGACGTATGCACACAACGCGTCAAATTTACCATACAATCGTGAAACGCGTATCTTGAACTCTCGGTAAATAATTCGAAGATGGAGATGTAGATACGAATCGGAGGGGAAAACACGGCGGTTAGGAATGATGTTAGAGGGGAAAAATTCGAGGAATACGAAGCAGGCAGATACAGTTATAACGGCGGGCAAGTTTGACCTGACATATCGGTAACAATGCTAGGCGTGTCGGCTGCGTGTTGCAACCGATTTCAATACGACTCGAGTCGCGTCCGTATTAGCATCGACGCGTGAGCATTGCTCGCACGTGCAGATAACAGTATACACGTCGTACACCACGCGTAATATTGAACGGCAAACAGATATAGGCGCAGCTCGTAATCCACGTCATATCCACGATACCAGTTTTGCAGCCGGTCGTCGCCACCACGAAGATGCGTTAAATGTCAAGGCGAGGACACGGTGGGGTTGTCCTGCTGGAGGATAGATCCTCGCCTTTTATGCGATCGGTCAATGAGCTCCGCGAAAGGAACACGCGTCATCCTCGCCTATCTTTCATCCGGAGTCGTGTTATCTTCGAACGTTGCTTGGGGCTAATCCGTTTGAAAAAAAACTCGAGAGAGAGAGAGAGAGAGTAGTTAGTAATTTTCTGAATTAATTACGAACTAC